TATATATATATATATATATATATATATATATATATATATATATATATATATACATATATATATATATACAAAGTATGTATATATTCAGGGAACTCCCATTCAAAATGCTTTTTCCCACGCCTAATCTATTTACAGATTTTGTGTTCTTCACACTCCCTAAATATGTGAACTGTAAAGTCGTCGCAGTGAAGAATGTAGGTATTGTAGGCAGCTCCTAGTAATGGGTTAGAAACTGTAACTTTAGCTTTAGTACATCAACTGTTCATAGACCCATGCTGCATTAAATGTATAACTTGATATGTTCATGTAATTCCTACACGATATGCAAGAATCGGTGTCTTTTTATTAGTAATGTCAGAATACATTTTTAAGTAATTGTTTTTTTTAATTTATGCTAATTCTATTAATTGTTTTTTTTACTTCTCTCAACTCGTCCCCGTATGTAATGGTAACTTGCTTGATCCATAATTACTTTGCATTGCCTTCTTATATGTTGTAACGATCTGCTACATTTATTTTATACTTACCCACATACGCATGCATGTACGCTTAAATCACACTCATTGGATTTGTACCTTAATCATGTTTCAAACAGCTATTCATAGCCAATGATGTTTTTCGAAGATTTATATTTTTGTAATGCCACCTATTCGTTAATTATGCCCAACAATTTTCTCCCTCAAATTAATGTGAACGTTTATTAGCTTAAATATTGCTTCTGCTGCTAGAGTTACTCAAACGCATATTTTTTTCATATTAGCAGTGAGAAATGCTTGTAAGCTGTTGTATTTGTACAGTAATGAAGTACAGTAAGATTAATGTGAAGCAGGAATTTTAGCAGTTTTGTGAACTGCTTATTCATAGTAATGTAAATGTTGCATTTATATATATTTCTGTTTTCATCATGTAATTATATGGGATCAAGGGTGGATTTATGGTACGTCTCGCATATACCACTGTATACAGCGAATTGTATCACGTGGATCGCTGTATACACACATATGCTGTCAAATCTCTGGTTTGCAAGGCTCTAACTATTAATTTCTAACTTGTATGCGCGTTTGATGTCGTATATATATGCAAGTGAATAGAGAAACGAGTCATGCCGTGTCATAAAATTGTACGTAGAACGTACGATCGAGTAATCTGGTGCGTGTTCACGTGAACAGACTTTAATGAAAACTCACTGTGAACTATTGGCCACAATGCGCTCGGATAGTTAAGTGCTTTATAGTGAAACTAATCGTGATCGCGTCTAAATGATCACAAATTGTCATGTGTTTTTCTCTACTGTGTTCGATGCAATGCATTTTTTATTGGCGAATGCTGCGCTCTTAAGAGTTAATCATTCTTTTCGTGTGATATACGCAATAGTCTTATCACACCGATTAGTGCAGAGTTCAGCTCAGTACAGTACAGTGTGATACGGATTTAAATCAAACGTTGGAGTTTAGCAGCTTGAAACGTATGAAGACAATTGCTTAAGCCCGCCGCACAACGCTGTGGAACTTGGTGTGCCAAGCTGGCGCAGCAAGTTCCACAGCTTGTGCGGCGGGCTTTACGTTACTGTCTCGAACTTCCTGAAACCCTTGTTCAACAGCCTGAAACATTTTCCCTTTATATCCGAGAAGTTCTACTGTCTACTTCGTCTGTTCCACTTTCTGAATCAACAGCGTAATAATAGGCAAACACTTTTTTGCGATAGGATGTTCTAAAAACAATACTTGGCAGCGACGGCCCGCAAAGTTTTTGCTGTGTCCACGTTGACAATGATTTCGGTAACCATCTAGTTGTGTTTGTTAAGTTCCTAAGTCCTTATTCAGTTGGGCGAATACATTTTTATTTATCTTTAATTCACTCTTAATATTATCAGAAAATCTGACGAACTTACTCCAACGATAGCGACAGTGTTAATGGTTTTCACCTGACCAGTTCGTGGGAATGGCTAGAATATGGGTATAGCTTATTGTTATGGAAAATCAATTTGACGATGACTGCGCATGCGCATGTGGGATATTGAGCAGCTAGCTTTGTGGTGCGTGGTTGTCACTGTAACAACATCAAGCTATTTAGTCTCGGAACTAGACACATATGCAATGTACCGACAGCTTAATAACTTAATATAGCAATCTTGATTGTTGATATTCCCGCATTTACCGAGGATGAATTGTTATGAGATTTAATTTACAAATTTATAATAATAGTCTATAGTTTGCTTTCCAGTTGCTTGTAAAAAGAAGAGTATGCTGATTATATTATATAATATATTGCAAGATTCTTACAATCAACCCTTTTACTAATTATCGAAAGGACCGAATATATATATATATAATGTAATAAAATTTATATATTACATTGAAGGTTTAATATCGTGTAAAGCGTATGAATGTTTGTATTTCGCATATGTTCAAGAATCCTTATATATATATATATATATAAATAAAGTCACACACGAACACCCATGTAGATAAAAACAAAGTCAGAATTATAGAATAAGGTTTTTAAAAAATTAAATTAAATTAAATTAAATTGTTTAATTACATTAAATAGTCAATTAATTTTTAAACACACTTATTCTATACTTTGACTTTGTTTATATATATATATATATATGTGTGTATAAATAATGTGTGTAAGTGTGAGTAAACATTCTTTCTCGCTGCCTCTTTTTCCCCACTCATTCTCGTTGTCCCAGATACGAACAAATGTGTATTATAGGCGCATAGAGGCCAAGTATTCAGATAGGGAAAGGCCCTGGAACGCGAAAGTATGAAAGAGAGGAAGAAAATGAGAAGAAAGTGTGAATATCAATAATCGCTACGGTTTAGATGTCTGTGAGGCGATTCTACGACGTCATTCACAAGACGTTTTAAGACTTCAGTGCTACTAACTTCATGCCTATGTTAGCAGCAGCTCAGTTGCACTAGCCGTGATCGTATAGTGGTTAGTACCTTGCGTTGTGGCCGCAATAACCCAGGTTCGAATCCTGGTCACGGCATAGCTACTCCGTAGCAATATCATGGCATGAGTGATTTTTTTACGTTGGTTGTTTACATTTTTACGTTAGCTAACGCTCATTAGTCTATGTTCTCGTTCAGATTCGTGATTGTTATAACGATATAGAATTGTGTGTAATAATCACAATTTTAATGTCATTATTATGCCTGTGCCACAGTGACTCAAATACAAGACAGATTATAATAATTCCTAAAGGCTGTAGAATATAATTTAAAAATAGACAGGCCTTCGGTGGGCAGCGGCGACCAAATGCCGTATAATTAGTTGGTTATATACAATACCTACAGTGGTTAGGCAGTGACAGTAATCATTTCCTTTGTGTGCGGCACACTAGGGGGCGCGTCTGTCGTTACTTGTCGGTGCTACAGATTAGCAACCGGCCAAAGTCTATTTGATAAGTTATCATTAGTACAATCATCAGACCATGAGATCTGTGGCCGCGTCTCTCACTGCTCTGTTATTCGTTTCGTCTTTCCTATCGAATATCAACAACAATAATGTTGTCGAAAGCAGAGGAATCGACGGCGGAATGAAATGCGCAAGTAACATGTTATTTTTGATACAATTTTAGCATTAGCTGTATAAGTATAAATATACCATTAACACATTTATATAATAATCTGTATAATAAGATATGATGTGCATTTTTTATATAGTTATACGTATAGTATAAGTTAAGCTATATTACAATACATTTTCTGAACTATAATGTTATTATGATATATTGCTTGATATAGCGCGGTGACGATAGATAGTGCCGCACTGACCGATCGACCGAATCTATTAAGAAAACTCAGAAACATTACGATAATATAAGATATAAACATTAGTATAAATATATTAACATGATCAAGGTTACGATAATTTATAAGTAAGATATGAGATGATTATAGGATTTCGCCTAACATTCTTACAGATTATACGTAATAGTGAAAGTAAAAAGTTCACAGAGCGGTTAGTTAATTGCGAGTAGGTCATATTCATGGTCATGTATATATATCACGATAAGTTCGGCAAGTCATTGACACTTGGCCGACCGCCACTGCAGTACTACCGTACCTCGTATCCCTGCGTTTGTGCAGCAACAATTCATAGCCAATCATCTCGTATTGATGTTTTGCGCATGAAAGGGTGCTTAATTTCGCACTACCTCAGACCTATAGCGAATATATTGCGCATTTATGTGTATACTTCCTTTGTTATTCCTTCATAAAATACGACAAAGCCTTGAGATCGCATAAAAATAATTTATGGTAACAAAGTACACAAGTTTATTTAGGTTAATATTATCAATAGAACGTAGAATAGCTAGGGAACGCGCTTTAACTTGCTTACTATACTTCACACAACAATCGCAAATATTTATTATTTTGCACTTATGAACAGTTGACACGTGTTCGCTACTATATAGAAAATAAGTACATACTTTTCCTGGGAAAAATATTATTTCTGTAATTCACGGGAATTGTTTCGTGTCGGAAGCATAGTTGAATTGATTTTTAAGAACAGAGCACACGTGTACGTATATGTGTGCCAGTTGTAACTGTAATTTTCTTCACTCAGATTGGCCTAAAACCCGTCGATGCAATCATTTCTATATGTTACCAGACGTCGCAATATACTTTAGCACTTACTCATCCATATTGTAATTGCAATTATATATTAAACCTATTTAAAAACTGACAAACGTGCGCTACCACAGCTGCTGCCCGGTTTCAGCAACTGCCAGGTTGACCCTTTCGCCTAAATAAAATTACCACATCCTCCTCGTTATACATATATATATATGGATATTTCTTGCTCCTATATATACTGTAATTGCTACGTCTGCTTGCCCAATCTAGACCAGTTTAAACGCGCGTTTAATGAGCGCACGCCGATACATCCCCTCGCGGCACTTCGTTACCAAGTATTGTTTATTAGAACCCCTCATCACAACATTGGTTAGCTGCTCGTGAATCACACATTCGATGGATGGATCAACGCTGTTATGTATTGTTAACGTTTTGTTACGGCATCTTTTCCCGGCATCGCAGCCTGCACGGTCGTCGGTGGATTACTGGAGCAGCTATCAGTCGTTCACAACGAATCGATAGCGCAGTCTTTGTCCCGATTATGCGAGTATCTACCGGACAAGTTCCACGTTGCTTGCGAGTTGGCCGTCGACTTTGCCGGACCCATAATTATAGATCTGTATGTACCATGATCTTCCGTTCACATGGAGCATTAGAGATGATACACTGTATTCTCACAAGAGCAAATGTAGCCACACACGAGCACACGCGCGCTTATACACGCACCCACACACGCATACAACCTGTTGCACCCAAATCCGTGTCAATATCGTGATAATTTGTCGCAACGGTCGTCTAACGTTGCGGTTTGTTGTATGCAAAAATTTATACCAGCAGCAGGATCTGTAACGGTGCATGCTATAAATGTTATACAACGCAGAGAGAGAGAGAAAGAGAGAAGGAAAGAAAGAAAGAGAGAGAGAAAGAGAGCGAAAGAAAGAAAGAGAGAGAGAGAGAGAGAAAGAGAGCAAAAGAAAGAAAGAGAGAGAGAGAGAGAGAGAGAGAGAGAGAGAGAGACGTATGTGTGCGTGTGTGTGTTTGTATGTGTGT